GATATTTATATGCTGTAGAAAAACAAGGCACCACCAATAAATGTCCCACATATTTATTTAAGTTTCAGTCTGACAATTGTGCAGCTGGACAGACGTTCCCGGGAAACTGTATTCTGCTTCATGATGTGCCAGACCTCTCTCTTCTCAGTTACTCCAAAGATTTCTAGGCCCTGATTAAAGCCCCTAATCCTTCCACAGCTGTTTGGGACAATCCCAACCAAAGGTTAATAATTCTTAAAATACTGTACATCAGTTGTCCTATTAGTAAGCTTAGCAAAGGCCATCCAAGCCACATGCACTGGGTAATAAAGATTTTAACCATCTTTTGTAACCTCTGCTATATCCGGGGACACTGACCTCTTAGATTCGGAACAGAATTTTATTAGGTATGCTTTAAACAAGAGGGGAGGCTGGGGAATGAGGACAGATCTTTGAGGTAGGATATGTTTTATAGGGATTATGGTCTCTTTGGCTATGGCAGCTAAGGAATTATTTTCTTCTCTTGAAACTAGAAATTTCTAAGAACAGCAGTCTTTTCCATAGCACAGAGAGGAGAATTCGATTACTATAGGGAACTCAGTGATGAGTGGTCTGACGACCAGCATAGATGCCATTCTTTTGGTGTTTTCCAAAGAGTGGAACTTGTAAGCATGGTCACTTAAGCAATGTGTAATTTAACAATTTAAAAATTATTATAAGTCAAGAAAAAAATAATTTGATATAGAATTTTATATATTTTATATAGTGAAATTCATGATTTACACAAACTATTACTTAAAGCAATGTTAAATTTTGAAAAAAAAATGAGCATATTTAAACATGTTTTCCTAATGGTTCATGTGTTATCAGACTGGAAAAAAATCATAAGTGTAGAATGTGATCCATTGAAATGCAAGTCTATTTTACTTAATTTACTGATAAATGGCGTGTTTCTCTTTGTCTGTTTGTTTGTTGTTTGTTTATGTTCCCAGTTATCTCATAGACAAATATTTGACCTATTCCTGGAAAGGATACAGAATAGGTGACATGAATTTATGAAAATATATAAAATATGGACTCGCATTCCTTTTGTCTCAATTTTGTTAGTTATGTAATTTTCCTGTCAGTTTTGTTTTTCTGTAATACATGAGGTTTTGGAGGAAATAAAAGCAATCTAAAACTTGTTTATGGTACAAATAAGACGTGGTTTAAAATGAGAGCTGCTGTCACTTTAGCATTTCCCATCGGCTGATGGTCGTCACAGCAGTCCCTCTGATGGGGTGGACGGCACTGGGGTGACTGCAGCAGAGTGTGAGGGAGACAGGCGTGTGTAGGAACCTCAGGTCACGAAGTGTCAAAGAAGAAGCAATAGCCTATGACAGCAGTGATCACATTTCATAGTTTGTCGTTGATACTTTGAATGAACCCATGAGAATTATTGTGATGATAGTCATGTTTGAAGAGTGTATACTTTATAAAGATATTTCAGTCCTAAGAGGATATATTTTCCCAACAGGGAGAAGCCTGGTTGGTATCTACTAAAATTTAGGCTGGTAGTTGTGAGAGAGGAAGAACGGTATATAGAGAATTCATTATGTGATCCCTGTGCCTTTAAGGACACTGGGAGAATTTGAAAGCAATCTCTTTCAAAAGAACCAATGAAGGAGCATCCTTTAGGAAGAGAAGACCCGCTTTATGTAAAACAAAGCAGGACAATGAAGCAGTTTTAAGCTCCCAGCACCACCCCTCCTTTTCATAGTTTGGTTTGCCCTCTTACAAAGTAACACCCCGGCATTCACATTAGAATTAGAACCAACAAGGCATCCCTTTCATCCCCAGCTGCCAAAACTGCTCACTACTAATCATGAGCCATTCCTGGCTGCTAGCCAAGAGAGTTTAATAAACACCAGAATAGCTTCTGGGCCTCAGCTGCATTTGTAGCTTTAGCTAAAGAATGATGGGGGATTGGAAACACCATTCTGCAAGGACCGAGATTGGCTGAACAGCATTGGTGCAGCAAAACGACTACTGTCTATTAGTGAATGACCATTGTTGGAATAGATATTTTATATTAGGGCATGTGTAGAGATGCTCATTCAATCGGTCATGCTCGGCTTTATAAAGTTTCTTTCTATACCTAGAACATGTGTTAGTATATAGCCTTCTCATATTTGACCATCACTAAAAAATCATGATTTTTATACGTTTCATGGAGGTGTGCTTTCCTAAGAAATGGAAATGACTTTGATTTCCAGGAAAAATGAAGATCCATAATATTCAATGTCTATACAATAAAACAAGGTGGGTGATATTTAAAAAATTTTCATTATGAACATGTTATTCTATTTACTTGATGAGTAAATTCTTTATTTAGGTTATAATGTTGTCAATCTTGAAATTCCACAGGACATACAACTGAATGTCTTGATAAGAGAAAATATTGTATTTATTTGGAAATGCAGTGGAGATGTGGAGTTTCTTTTTCAAAATTTTATTGTTCTGTTTGTTGGTTGGTTACATAGAAAGGAGGGTGTTTCTATTCCACTCTCTCTGGGAAGAAAAAAGTAAGCATGAGAAAAAGTTAGCTTCTTTCATCTTTTATTCTTTAAGGCAGAGGGGAGTGAGATATCTTATTGGTAAAACATGAAAGAAGAGAATTTTGGAGGCATGGGGTCTATCCCCACACCCCCAGGGTGAGTTCTCTTTCAGGATAAGTTAATTGTCTGTGTCCTGGGGGACACTCTGCCCCTGGGGAGGAGAGGAGAGTTGTGCTTCAGAATAACAGAGAGAAGGATGTTTCTCTTATAGCCATGGGTCCAAGCAAATATCTTTGCCTCTCTGTCTCCATCTCCTGACTCTTATTTCCCAACTCCTTGGCAGCTCTAGAGAAAGAGTCAGATCTACTTGGTTACCCTCAAACCCTAAGGTGAGTAAGCACAGGTCCAGTTGTTCTGCGGTCATATCAACACATGGTGTGTGTGTGTGAGCATGTCGTATTATCCTTGAAAGCTTTCTGTGCCCGGTTCCCAACCTGAAAGAAATATAGATGAGGTTTTGGCCCTTATTGTGGGGCCTTAACTCCAGAGTGGTCTTCTTCTGCCACGGTCCACAGTGAAATATGTGCGAGTTTGTTTCACAAAATCTTTAAAAAGACGTGAGTCAAGAAGAGAACCTCACTAACTAAGCAATGCTACCTTCCCAATTGCTGACTTTGGATTTCTCTTTGATGAGATTTACATGAATCATGACTAGAAAGTGCACCAGTTTTCTCTGTGAGTTTTCCTAGAAAATGATTTCATAGACTACTAGGGGAATTTTCCCATCACTAGGAATCATATTTTCAGAACAAATGTATTAAACCTCTAACAAATCTTTCTTAATTTCTAATTAAAAGTTAAGTCTTATCGACATATACTTATCCAACAATCAGAGTAGAAGTCGTCATTTTGGATGTTGACCAAGAATTAACACACTACAGTCAGGAATTCAGAACGTTTATTGCAAGAGCTGAATAATCGTAAATAACGTAGAACTGGCAAAGCAGTAACAAGGATAACTGTTTAGATATTTATTCTGTCAAAGTCATCAAACACCCCTCACAAACCGACAAAAATGTACTGCAATAAGCAATGCACCCCTACCCATTATTGTCCATTATACTGTGAAAAAATGTGAATTGCTATTTACAAAGTAATTTTATTTTTGGTAACAAATTAACTATCAGATTAGCAAACTTTTTTTTATTTTTTATTTTATTTTATTGTTCACTTTTAAACTGATGTTGAACCGTGGCATTAAGATAACTTTCACTTCTTTCAATAAAGACATTTTGTTGCATGCTATTTATTTGTTTAAATCATCTGTCATGCCTTAACAAAAACCTCCTAAGAATGTTCAAATTTGGATTTGTTTGCACGTGCAACTGAGATCTTATTAACATTAGTTGTCACTCTGTTGGTTTGACCTACGTGACGAGATGCTGGTACCTGCCAGGCATTGACCAATTATGATAACAAACAGTTAAACAGCAATAATTAGAGATTTATCCCTTTATTTCCCCCAACTAGCCTACCTGGAGAATGTTCTGTTACATCATGAAGGCACAACACATTAAATATTTTGTGGCTATGGTCTAACACTTGTGTTACAACAACATTATTGTATATGAGGATCAACACAAACTCTGCCATTTCAACAAAGTTGCAGACACACATTTGCCCAATTGAAACTATTTTTGAATAATAATTTTCTTTAATATATGCTAATTTTGATACATTAGTGTTTCATGAGTGACAAGTACAAGATATTATATCACTTTCTGAACAATAACACTTTCCCATTACTCTTTCACTTAATACTACTAATTAAGTGATTTGCTTTTGCCTACTTTAAAAATAAGGATGTCAAGAAAATAGGTTCTGAATTTCCAAGCTTTTGCAGAAGTCATTTTTTATATAAAGTCTTTACTTTTTATCTTCATGTTATACAGAATCTGAGCATTAAAAGCTATCATAAAAGAAGCAAGATTCCAGAACCTTTTTTTTAAAACATAAGTGTTTGAGATCCTTTGAACAACGTGTGTCAAGACAGACTACGAATGCAGAAACACCTCACTAAAAGAAACAACAAAATCAGGACAAAGAGGCAAATGAAAAAAAAAAAAAAAGGAAAGAAGCAACCATAAAACACAGAAGTATGCTACGACATTTTTTAGGTGAACGTTATAAGTACACAAAAGTTGTTAATAATAACTTGCTTCTATTTACAAATACTTTAACACTGACTTACAAGTGTCCACTAACGTTGTTAACAGCACAATAGGTTTAATGCTTAGCTTTTTAAAGTTTTGTTTGAAGTATAATGTCAAGTATAGCAGTCCCAGCACAAATCAATGACAAAAAGAGCACAATTTTCTAACTGGATATGTTTGTCAGTCATTCTAATCCATGGAACTTTCTTACTCTCCAAATGCATATTCTATTGTTCATAGCAGCAGCCCAGGGTCAAAATAAAATGCAATTAAAAAAAAAAAAAAAGGAATATTTGCACAATGGAGAGAGATCTCTGGAGAGTTTAATCAATTCTAGTAAACAAGGTCACATGGCTAGTAGAACTATCTTCTCTCTTATGTGGTGAAACATTGTATCCTCCATGGTGCTAACACAAAGTTATGAATATCCCTGCTACAAGGGGCGTAGTGGTGGAGATCTACTGAATACATAAAGCTCTGACACACACAGTATTAGCATGTCTATTTCGAGTAAAGTTATTAGGTCCCATACAGCCTTGTTTGTTTTTGTTCTTTTTTAGAGTTGGTGCTCCTTAGGACTCTCAACAGCACCACCTGCTTGTTTATATGACTTCAGATTGGCCAGAGGAATGTCTGTCATGTGGCTGCCGTTGTTGAAATGGCCTTCATTGGGGCCATACTGCTTACGGTCATTGAACTGGTTCCTGTTGCCATCTTCTTTCCAGGCTCTGGTAAGGGTGTGCCCATTCACAAGCTTGTCCTTCTTGACCCATTCTTTCTGGGGTGCAAAAGTAGAGAGAGGAGACTTGGGGTGTTGATACGGACCCAAGCCAGGAGGCATCCAGCAATTATCGGAGTGACCCAACACCAAGCACTCCTGAGTGCACATCTCTGTCGCTTCAGCTAATCCGCGGGGGCCCAGGGGCCCATCTGCAGAGGGCAAGAGACAGAGGAAACAAGAGAGGATAGTGGTTAGAATTTTCACTTAAAATGATCTCCTAGAGAAACAGCACATTGGTGATCTCATTTTCTCATGAAAAGTACATTAAGTTAAACAGTTCAATAATATCTTTTCTCTATTCTTTTAAGAATAACATAGAAGGAATCAAATTTCTTGTTGTGGAGGTAAGAATGATCTCTTTTGTTCAGTAAACCTTTGTTTATATCCAGGGGGGAAAAAAAGATAGGAAAATAGATAAGTAAACCGATAGAAACCTAGATACACAGATAGATATGGACAAACAGATATACCCATATGTGTATGGTATGATGGGAACATGGGTCCCTTCCCATGCCCCCCTACCCACTCTGTGGGAATATAGTGAAGGCCATCTAAAATGTACTGAGACCTTGGGAACCTGACCAGCAACTCAGTCTAAGAAAAGCCAAAGAGAAACTGCTTCTAGATGTGAGCCCGGACTGTGAACAGCTAGCGTTTTGCTCTCACACAGCTTGCACACAGGCGGCCCTCCTCCCCTGCAGGCCCTGTCTTCTGCACTCCACCAAACCTCATGTTGGAAAAGTCTGGGTGGCAACAGAGCAATAGTACCGGCCGCCCCACCCCCTGCCGCCAGCCGACAGTCCAGATGGTGCTTAGCGGGACAGTTTCACTGGTGGCAGCCGGCGTGGCAGTGAACTTCACCTGTCGTCCAGGCCACCCCTGGTGAGCACATACGTCCTAGCGAACCCCTGTCTCTCACAGCCAGTCCTCTGGGTTGTTTCTTTGGAGTCTACAAACAGTACGCTGAGCTTTCCGAGGACCTCAGCACATTGTGTAACTCCATGCTGCACCATTTCTGATCAACTCTTTCTGGGGCATATGTATTATTACTGATTTAAGTCCCAATTCTTAGCAAAGAACTGGTATTTATGAGAAATTATAAAAAATAGGAAACTGTATGTGCAATATTGAAGACTATGTAAATACTGACGTTCCATGGAAAAGCACTACTTAAAATATATTATTAAACCTGGCTGGTGTGGCTCAGTGGATTGAGCGTCGTCCCAGGGACTGAGAGGTCCTGGTTTGATTCCTGGTCAGGGCACATGACTGGGTTGTGGGCTTAAAACTGGGGGAGGGGGGGACATACAGGAGGCAGTAGATGAATGTTTCTCTCTTTTCTCCCTTCCTTTCTCTCTAAAAAATTAATAAAAACACATTTAAAATTTATATATTATTAAAAATAAATACTCTAAATAAATAAATATTTGAAATGGTTATACAGAATATTGTTTTTTCATGTGTATATTTGATTTAGACATGAAAATAATTTTCAACATTAAAAAAAATAAAATGAAATAATTATTTAAAGAATACTTTTATTACAGTATATTACTAAAGGCACACCTGGTCTTATAAAAGCATTCTGAAATTCAAGTAAGAAAAGAAGCAATTTGATTCCAAAGACAGCATTTGCTTCCTTCCGAGCTTAACCTATTTTCAAGATTTGTAATGTACAAAACTATAGCTAAATTGCAAATTGGATCACATGGAGTCTAATATTCAGGGGCAAAAATCATCATAGATATTTCTCTTTTATTTATTTAATTTTTTTTTTTTTTTTTTTTTTTACCAGCAGGCAATCTAGAACAAACATTTTGACCATGATTTCAAAGGTGAAGTCTTCTGTGATTGTGCAAAAATATCAGCCCAGTTACTGAAAAACAACAGCCAAGTAGTTAAGGAAAAAGTTATTTTTTGTTGTTGTTTTTCTCCCTTGATTAAACAGTCAAGTGATAAGTGATAGCTTGGAAATTAGGAATTGATTTTAGGAATGAGGTTAAGTGGATAGGTAAGAACGCCCGAGGCATAAAGCAATTTGAAAAGCAGAGTCATCAGAATAAAAGTGCAGAAGAGAATGCAGAATTCATACCAGCAATTTTGCCTAATGAACAATTAAAATAAATAAAGAATTAAAATGTAGATCTTTGCTAAAATCCAAGTTAGTTACTAAGATTTTTAAGGTGTCCAATAATTGTGGGTTTTTTATTATATGGCCAACTACTTGTTTTAATAACATTCAATTCTTTCTCGTACGTTAAACACCACCTGCTGAGACAGGCAGTAGTTCACAGCAAATACCTGAGACCACAAAACACGGGCACCATCAGCACTGACACTGGATGTGGGGAAAAAAACCCAACTGTGGCTAAAATGTACTTCTCCACAAGCTCAAATTTTAAGTTGTTTTTATAATCTAAAATATGCTGTTGAGAATAATCTTAAAATTCCTTCCCACTGACTCTTTCGTATGCCCATTCCCTCAAAAGTGAACAGTTTTATTTTGTTTAGACACATGTTTATTATGTAAAACTACTTCTCATAAATCTCCGATGATTACTTTCTTCCTTGGATATTTAATTTAAACTTCTCTACGAGTCTTTCTTTGCCCTCCAAATTCTGCCCAAGTTTTAAACGTTCAATCCAATTTCTCCCTTTCAGGTTTGCTTTCCTGTGCTCAGTGACTGTATCCAGAGAGCTAAGATTTTTCCCAAACTGATTCATCCTTCTCATATTAGGATCACAGGCTGAGAAGACGTTTTCACCTGGCCTGTTAAAAAAAAAAAAAAAAAAAAAAATTTTCTTTATTTATTTGAGAGAAAAAGGAAGGGAGAGGAAGAGAGAGATAGAAACATCGATGAGAGAGAACATTAATTGGCCACCTCCTGCATGCCCCCCACTGGGGATCGGACCCACAACCTGGGCAGGTGCCCTGACCAGGAGTCGAACCAAAGACCTCTTGGTGCATGGGTCGATGATCAACCACTGAACCGGACTGCCCTGTTTTCATTTAATTACAGACTCTGTCAAGGGTCAGCTTATTTCCTACATACTACAGCCAGCTTCCAAAACTCGACCAATTCATGTTTCATAGGCACCTGGAGGATTTCCACAGATCTTCCCTTATCAATAAATAACAACTTTCTTAATTGAGCTCCCTCTGTTCTTACCTTAATGACATTTTTCTCTTTTGAGGGAGGGAGCCTCTACATTCATGAGACTCCGTTCTTATTTTTGTTTCCCCAACTAGACTTAAAACATGTTGATGGGGAAAAAAAAAAGATTTATCAGTCTTCTGATTCCTCATCGTTCTAAGCAATAAGAATGGTCGATGAATAATGTTACTTGTCAATTAAAATTTTATGAGATTGAGAATGTACTGAGAAATGATTACGGATATCGCCCCCTTAAAGCTAGACCTCATATACTTATAATAGAAGATGCTGATTTCACAAACATCAAGCCAAAAGCTTCCTTAACAACACATCTCTGCCTAGCAATACTTTGTGACAGTTCATAAAATAATTATTTAACTTCTCTGTTAAATACATTCACTCCTTTCTAGACATCAGTGGAGATAATGTAGCCAATCACCAATTTGTTGTACAATATATCCTGAGGCCAAACCTTAATCTTTACTTTTCTAGAACCACTAATGTTTCTTTTCTTATTAATATCTCCATAGGGGGCGGGGAGAGCTTTTCAGCTGACAGAACCAGATTTTAACTGAATTCATCAAAAAAGACAGGATAGAGAATATGCAAATTTATTTTTAATATGGCATTATCTAACATGTATTGTCTTCTTATTAAATTAAGACCTATTAGCCAAGGGTTGAGAACAATGTTTGTGTACTTACAGGTAAATGTAGACCCCAAGTCTTCAGCACTGAGTGACACAATTTAACAAAGAGTACATTTTCGTTTTTCATACATTTTCAGAACCAGTAAGCTTTATTTATTTATTCCACCCATATTTACTGAGCATGTACTATATGCTGACACTGTGACAGGTACCAAACATTAACAGTAAACAAAGCAGCTGTCATCACTATCCTCATGGAGCTTTGGGCCTCTCCGGGAAAACAAATAATTGCCTTAAAAGTCGTGCACTGAAAGGGGAGAAAACTGTCACTGGGAAGGAATGGGAGGCAGTTAGCTGACTTACGGAGGCATGTCCCTATGCAAGGTACCAGAGGGTCTTGGTTTGTTCAAGCTATATCCCATCCACTGTTTTCTGCAAGTTTTCACAGATCGTTGACAATTTAAAACATCTGTGGTTCAAATGTCTGTGTACTATTTAAAATCATTAACTTGCAAAATATTGCGTTTCTGTCCATCACATAATATTAACGGCTCTGTGAAAACTGACCTTCTTGTGATCCATTTATGTAAATAAATTTGGACACGTTTGATAAAGTCTATAAATAAATTTATAGAAGTGTTTCGATTCTCAGGTAAGTCCTTTAGGTACCCGATTGTTATGTACAATTTAAAGATCCATCAAAAGATGAGACACAATACACCACTCGGATGAAAGCCAGTCGTTTTAGAGTTGTAGGGGAGAAAACGCCACCAGGCGGGGCTACAGGGAGCTGCACCAGGAACAGCATAACAGCGAGGCCAATTGCTGGCTGCTTCCCTACAGCTGGGTTAGCTAGGTCCCTAGGGCTCTCTGTGAAATGACTAATTTGAGTAGCTCCTCAGACTATAGGGCATAGGGGCTGTCCCAAATCACCTGGTCCCTGACCTCTGGATTATTAGAGTGGGTGCACAGTGACCCAGGAGTCCGATAGCTCTGTACGAAAGTGGGGAGTTATGGACTTACTCAAGTAGGGAAACTGACCAACCTCTTGTCAGGGCCTCAGACCTGGGACAAGAGAGTCTTAAAAAAAAAAGGTTCAAAAAAAAAAAAAAATCAGTAAGCAAATTGGTTATGTTCTTGATACTGTCAGTTGTATTGTTGGAAAATATAATTTGTTTTATGCTTCGGCAAATTTTTATTTTGGGACATGATATTAAACTGAAAAGTTTCCTTTTTTTTATTTGTAACTATATAACTCTTAGTAGTTACCTCATATCAAAAGAAAAAAAGGTTTATTTTGGGAAATAATAATGCTTGCAAGTTTTCTTCTATAAGTCTGTTTCAT